CGAATGTACGCGAGGGAGACTAGGAAAAAAAAGATCTCTTCTAAATCATTCACTGGCGCCGGTAAACCTTTCTGTATGAATCTTGATTGTCTTTATTCTGTGAATCCGCTTAAACTAACATAGTTCAAAAGCCTTATGACCTCATAAAATATTTTCCACAAACACATCTGGAAATCACCTTTCTATTGTGTTTTTTTTTTAAAGTTATATGACAGAAACAAATTGCTAAATTTATCGCTGACAATCGAGCGAGAAATAAGTCTGACATCTTCTGATCGCGTGAGAATCACGTTAAAACCATCCCCCTTTTGTCAACAAAGCGGAACCAGTTTCTGTTTTCAAATTTAGGGAATAATAACTATGACAGCTGTTATTATTGAAGTATCACGCTCACTATCATGTTTTCTGACTTGTATGCTTTTCATGACCAGCCACTGTGTGTGTGTGTGTTTTGAACTTGTTATTGTGTTTCATTTTGCTTTGAAACTCATTCATGATTCATGAAGTTATGCCAAAAAAATGGATGCCTGGTCTATCATTTGGTTACGTAATAATACAGCCAGAAATAAATAATATAAGAAAATTATGCAAAATTGTTCTTTTTCTTCGCTTCCAGCAGATACAGTGATTCAGTGTTTTTCAAGACACCTTGAAACGCGTCAGAGATACTCCCGTACGCGATGTATTTTCCCAGGCAGATCCCGGGTGAAAAATATATTGCAACTGTCTGAATATATTGCACGTCTGAACACTCTTCTCCCTTCCATACAATAAGTTATATAGATATTAATTTAAATAAAGGCAGACTACTGGGACTTTTTTCAATTCTTCAAGAAACACATTAACGGTATTTTGCCCCAGTCCTGGACGATCTGCGTCAATGGAATCCTCAGTAATGAGTTCCGCCCCTTTAAACTAAGCTTCGCAGCTTAAGTCGACAATGACGAAGGTGAAGGAAGGTTCTCTGACCTTCAATAGGCTCTCCGCCAAGGTACGTAGCTTGCGGTTAGAAATCTCTTCAACCCATCAAGAGCAATAAATGATTATAAATAGTGTCTGATCCGATAATTGCTCTGACACAAAGTGATGTATCCCGTTATTTTCCCAAGTCTCGGTGCGAAAGCGAGGCACAGGGAGCAAGGATAACATTGCAAAGAACCTCGCGTGACTAAGATCCAAATGAGATTTATGCTTGTCACGCAACACTTAAAGAAGTGAAACACAGTTACCTTTTAAACGTCGGACAGTTACACTAAGACCAGGATATAAAACGGGTGGGATTTTAGATTTATCGGTTGAATATACACGGCTCTCGAGTAAAAGCCGCAGATAGAAGCAAAAATACAAATAGATACCGCCCCCGAACAGAAACGATGCCGCAAACGGAAATAATATTAGTTATAAACACCGCCCCTGAATAAGTGCCACATCTCATCAGAAAAAATGCCAAATTTATCCAAGGGTTTTAAGTTAACAAAATCAGCTGCGCTAAACCTGATTATCTTTTCCATTGTTGGTGTATAAATCACCGGCCTGACAATCAGGAAAGAATGAAGACATTGGAGCATCAAACAAGTTTCTGTGATGCACTCAAATTGTTGTTGGTGATTCAAGAAACATTATTTTGAAATGAAGGTTCCCCTTGAGTAGTCGCCACCTTAAACAGACACCGCATCGGAAACGAAAAAAAAACTGAAAATTAGGGAGGATTCAAAAACCTGTTTTTGTTTTCAAAACTTTAAGAGTCTTTAGACGTAGTCAGGCTGATGCCGTGTAAAGGATGCCTTTATCGAGAGTACGTGACGTTTAGACCGTGTCTGTTCCCAAGAAAATATTCTCTACGTTGGGACTTAAATCGGAAACTGAATTATATTGTGCCTCGAACACCTTTGGAGACACGGTTAAATGTTTTTCAATAACACAAAAACCGCACACAAAAAAACAGGAAATGAATCGTGTGAAACAGCAGCTTTTCGCGGATTATCCGCTGAATAAAGGTCAACGAATGATTCAAATTATATTTCATATTATTTTCGACCGGCTCCATGTTTCGTATGATCACGTATTGATGGCCGAGAATGAAATTCTTCCGTCACGTAGTATCTCGAGCTATTGTTTTGTTTTGTCTCAAAAAAAAAAAAAAAAAAAAAAAAGCTCGCATGGTTTGATCGGAAGCATGCGAATTCAAAAGGCATGATGTTAATATACAAGAATCACGTGTGTTCAGTTTCTTTCTATTCATGTTTGTCTACGATATAACGTTTTCAAGAAATCTTATCACAAATAACTTACACTACAAGTTCGTTTGTTGGCAAGCTCCTTTGCTAGGTGCGGGTTGCGCGCGCGGAAAGAGGAGAGAAGGAGAAAGATCACCTGGCCAAATGGGCCAAACAAACATTGACGCAGACATTCAGAGTTCTAAGGCATGACTCTGGAGAGTTTGCTCGCAAGCTAATTACATGTCAGAATCGAGATTATGAAGCTGTTGTCACGTTGACTCAGCTCGAGGACCGGAAAAGGCGACAAAAATTGGGCCCCAATCTGCGCAAGCGGGCCATCTCTTTCATCTGTACCATAACGAAACGTCCTTTTTTTTTAACGCGTGTTTTCATAAAATGCCTCAAATGTTGAAAAAAATACTCATTTAGAGTTTGAATTTTTGAATTTAGGCTAATACAATGTCTGCTACGGTTTAACTATAGTTTTACCTTTCGAAGATCGACTTCCGTGATTTCCCGCGTATGAGTGAGGAAAGTTTTAGTTTGAGCGACGCACTACCTTTCAGCTTTGATAAACAGATAAAGAATGGAAGGACACGAAGGAAATAAAGAGCAGCGTTCTTGATAATAAAAAGTACAAGGAGCCTGTTTACGTTACTAAAATTGTAAATTGGTAAATTGTAACCTGCCAACTTACCTGTTCGACGAAGGCAATGTTAGGGTGTAAGAAACGACGACGGCGACGCCGTGGACATCGTCGATTTAAAAATGAACTTAGATTTTACCTACGAATCTCGCGATACTCTAAAGTAATTTAGTTTGTTGCTTCCTGTCAGAACTATTTCGAAACTGAGTATGGAACACAGCGTCAAATTAGAAATAGAGATTTTACAAAATTAGCCGTCGCCGTTCACCAAAGTTTGGTCATTTCATGTTGCTGTTTGGCAAAGGACGCGAATAAATTTTAAAAGATTTACACGCACAGCCACTGTTTGACTCATTAAACTTTTTGTTTAGTGACGTTGCCGTTGCCGTTGCCGTCGTGGTTTTTAGTAAATTCCCCTATGAGTAAATACGAAAGAGGAGATAAAGGGTACCTTTCAAATTATAAGAAAACAAATATACATTTTTTACGTAACTAAAATCGATACACATCCTATCAGCTTACCTGTTTTCCGGAGCAATTTGAAGAAAACATAAGAGGAGGATGCCATTTAAATGATAAGAAAAACCACGAAGGATTGTTTAATTACGTGACTAAAATCTTAAATTGTATTTTGTTTTGTCACGCACTCCTCAAAACACGCGCTGAAACATCACTCAAAAACAAGGAAGTAGTAGGGGTAGCATGATATCAGTTTTACGTAGTTTCGGTTGAAAGATAATCTTTCTTTGATGTTTATTTTGTTTGTGTTCAAATAGCTCGTTCGATGCCGACCACGTTCTGAGAACTAATACGGAAATGATTGCGAAATAGTGCGGGTTGTGAAGTCTTTATTAAAATTGTTCGCGCGTGAAGACTCGATTGAAAATGCGTAAATGCAATGAAAGAGAGGGTTTATGAAACAAAAATCAATCCATGGTAATAATCAACTTGCTTGATCTATGTACTTCAACAGAACTTTAGCCTTATCCGCAGATCGTGGCGCTCATTATTAAAACCTTTCTTCAGAACCAATAGACCGCAAAGTGTATATGTCACGTACGGCCTGAGGGAATTGGAAAATTGGAACAGCACTTGCCAAATAAAGTGGGCGCAATATCAGACGCGTGGGTCTCTTAATGGCGTGTGCCCATGACCGAAAAAAAAAGAACGTTATTGTGATTTTTCCTATTACACAACACACCGTTATACGTGATTCGAAAATATACATTTTAAGTTTGAAATTTCTAATTAGACTGACACAGTGCATCCTACTGTCGTACGCGAGAAAAAAATCCCATAAGGATCTCTGCTCAGGTTATTGGTTAAAATCACTCCAAAGCGAGCTTTTGAAGTTTTCGTGAGCATGGAACTAGGATGGCCAACAGCCAGCATACTATCACTCACCGATAAAAGTTGCGTATATTTTTTAAGGAAGCAGTGTGAATCGAGCTAGTACGTGATGCGAAGAGATGAAGCTGTCACGGACCAACAAAACAGAGGCGTATAGATTAGGATTTTTCAAATTATGGTAGAGGGGGGCTAAATTTAATTATTTTCCGCTCACTTTAGAGAACAATTATAACTTTTTTCGTCGGGGAAGGGGGGTTGGTAGATTTTCATGGGGAACAGAGGAGGAATCAGTCGTCGCTAACAGGATATAACTAAAGGGGGGCCATAAAAAATTGACAGCAAATCAGGAGTATTAGAACACTACAGAAACTTAGGTGCAGGTGGGATCAAGCAAATGGTATTGTGACACTACCAAAATCCCCCCCCCCTCCCCCACAACGATTAATAATGACCAGTCTCTTGAGTGAATCTGCTTATACCGCTGCTCTGCATCAGTTATCAGTGGGCTCGTATTCACAGAGCATGAAAAAGAGACAAGTAAAGGGCCATTTTCAAAAATATTTAGTCTGTCTTTCACTTATTAAGTTGATTAATTTGTTGGTCAGTCTGTAATTCAGCGCGAGGTTTTCTTATCACAGTTTTACGATGTAGTTGATTACAATAGGCGAGCGTAGGCATCTCTATATTTGAAAATTTTATTTACATTTGTCGCTTTTGTCGCAATAAACAATAGCACATCTGAGAAGTCGAAAATGATTTTTTATATATACGCTTTTTCAACAAATGTCCATCCATTTCTCTCGTACGCTCTTGATTTGAGCAAAACGTTGAATACGCCAACAACAAGTCATTCTATGGCGGCAGCGACGCAGTAAGCTATACCCATTAGAATGAAGAAGGGTAACAGAAACACGCCCAATATAAGGTACCCTGGCGTTAGAAGTAACACCCAGAGGCAGGCTGTAAGAGAAATTAAAAAAAACGTTAATCAATCCTTGTCTCAAATCGTAATTATTGTATGAGCAGGTGTTAATTCGTGTAAGACATCGTACATGCAACTTAATTTAATACCAAGGCTGGTCTAAAAGCAATCAAAACATTAAGCTAATTTTGGTGAGTTTTGTCTGCTGTTATTTATAAGTTATTGAAGCTAGAAGTTTAGCCAGTTACTAAGAATTCGCTTTATATGTAAGACATGTAATAACCAACTGAATGAACTAAGCTAAGCTGGGTTTCAAACAGCGAGAAATGATCAGGAAACTAAGGAAATTGGGTACGAGTATACGTATGCCTCTGGCTTGGAGCGCATTGGTTGAGGACTTGTAAACTCACGCTCGTAACAGATGCATTTATGAGCATTCTAAGTTACTTCACTTTTTCCCTTGAATTTTTTTTTCTTTTTTTGCATAGAAACTTGCGCCTACTGGTTAATTAATCTGATGAAAAACTAGAGCCAACCGCTACTTAGATGTCGACGCCCATTTTCCCGCGCTTAGCCAACATACATTTTCTCAGATTTTTAATCGGTTCATTTGATTAGCTCCTTTCTCTGGTTTAAAAATTTCCTTCAATTTGGGACTGAAAGTGTAAGGTCTTTCTTTTGTATTTATTTGATGTCAGTGAAAAAAAAAGCCATACCTTTACCACGAATGCTATACCACGCATGTCCCTTTTCACAAAATAAGCATCCATAGCAGTAATCGCAGCGGTATTCCGGGTTCGCTTTCTCGACGAATTCCTCTCTGGATGGCTGGGTTGTCAGAAGCGGTAAGGCGTCGCTGCAATGATTATAAAAGACAGGTTATCATCGCTCAGATAAGTCATTTTTTCACAAGAGGTAGATAGAGGGGATTTATGGAAGAAAAGCATCTCGATGTAGAGACACTAAGACACAGGAAACTTTAGGATTTCGTAGTGTTGTTGAACGAATTGTTGTATAGTGTTTTTGGCATTAAAGAATAAAAAAGTATGAGTGCATGTGGAAGTTACTTCGTTAGGAGAAGTCCAATGCGATTTGGTCAAAACAAAACCAGGAAACCCGACTCTTTGCCCGAAATACGTGGGTTCTTTAACGACCCCTGTTAACCAGTACAGGAAGATGCCGGAGACAGGGCCTATGAATTGTCGTTGTTATCCGAGAAGACTAGAATGTGTAACTATCTGCAGATGTCATAGCAAAAGCGGCAAATTCTCTTCAGTTATCTTAACGCCCTGAGGGCTGCTTAGTTACACGAGGTCTAACCCAACCGCGGTTTTCCGTAAGCAAAGGGCCTCAGGGCTTCTCCATAAGAGGGTTGATTTCATTGAATAAAGGTCCTTCCACTAAGCTTCCGGCCCTCTTGAAACTGTTCACAAAGATAAATGTTCAGGTCAAAAGGTTCGGCTACATTGAAGATGGCTTAGAACGTGGTTTTGTTAAACAAGGACTAAAGTTTGTTTGAAAAACCGGCCCTAAGTGTTGGTTCAGTCTAAGGCTTGAACCCACGACATCCCGCACGGCAGTCCGGCGCTCTGCAACTAGCTGACCAAGCGTGGTTTTTCACTGCACTAACTGGGAGAACCCACGCGAAGCATGACGCAATGCTTTTTAATTGCCTTTTGCATCTTGTTTACTGTCTGTCGAATCGTGTCTGACCTTATCTAAACATTTGCTGGAACAGCTTCTCGACATTATCACAAAAACAAGCTGTGATCAAATGGAATTTCCGTAGCTGCAAAAGACCTCTCACCTGTCCTTCGTTACTTCTTGGACGGTTTGAAAGTCACTAGGTTCAACTTGTACTGCCACGCTTGTACACGTGCTGCGTGAAATAGCAAACAACAACAATAACAATAAAAACGAGCATCAGTGTATCATGGACTCATCAGAAAAGAAATTGAAATTGAACAGGTAAAGCACACACAAAAAAATGAGTGATTTACTTTTAAAACTGCTAAAACGTTATACATTTAGAAGGAAAGTTTGTTCAGCATGAACTGACATAGATTCATAGCATTGAAAAGTTGTTACCGGATTGCGAAATCTCGTATATCCACTTGAGTGCCGCACCTAAGAACAGTACAATAAAGCAAATGAGAGACAGGTTTTTTTTTCTGTAGCATGGAGTACAGCACAACAAACCCCACAAACTCAAATTTAATTCGGCGGGAGAAAGATAAACATGTAAAACAATAATAATTCCAAGCCCCTTGAGTTACAGGAGCCATTCTCGCGCTTTACCGCTTGCATCATTGAGAAACCAGGATTACTGATTCCCTAAAAAAAACTGAACTATGGAGCGTTTTTCGTTTTTCAGCGTTAAATAAAGAATACATATGGTGCTCTGTTAAATAGCTCCCTCTTCTGTTCGTCCTCCTTTTTTTCCTTGTTCGTTCGCTTTTTTTTCTTTTTATTTTATTTACTTTTCTTCCTTCTTTCACGCTTTTCTCGATTATAATTCAGTATATACTCACTCTACAACCGTCTCCTTTTTTTCTGTCTCCATTTTTCCTGCTTCATGTGAGTTGAAAGACAACTGGATATTCTAAATATGGTGTGGCAATTGTTCAAGTAGAAGCTACAAAGAGAGCGGATCAAACAAAAAGTCAGGAATCAACATATCGTGGCTCAAGTTAGTTGAAGGAATTAGCGGAGAAGTTGTTTTCCTTGTAACTAACAATTATTCGCTGAAGGCTAAGTGAATATTGTTCAATAATTCCTGAGACGAGGTCGAGGAAATTGTTAAAAAAATCTTCCCTGAGCCCGAGGCGAATAATTGTTTTAGCGTAATTGCCCAGGTGCTTTCGAATTCTGTTGTATATTCCGGCTTTAAATAAAGAAAGCGCCTTGCGCATATTTTGTTACAATTGTGGTAATTACTCGATCAGGAGAAGCAAGTAGTTTTAGCACGTTTCATTAAACTTCATAGCTCTATAACTGAATTTTCTTCTATCTTTTTATCACTTCTGCGGGAACATTGACAACACGCAAGGAAGCCATTTTGAAATTTGGTGCCCTGCTATAATCACCTCGCGCGAGGTTACTATAGCGAGATATGAAGCAAGCCTCAACCAATCAGAGCGTGCGCATCACTTTTATCACCTCAGTAATTGTCCTAAGAAAAAAATATTAGATGAGGTTGAGCGGGATATCATGAATTCTCAAAACTGAGGTCTGAGTTACCCTCTCCCCCTTCCAGGTGATCAACGATGAGTTTGTCCTAAAAAAGAGCAACGTCAATTTACGACGTCTTCAAATAAACAACAACAACAACAAGCAAATAGCGGTGTATGGGATAAACACAGGACTCAAACTGGTCTGTCATCAACCCGGTCATGATTAAGGCTCTCTGTTGTCCAGGGGTCGTCTTGGAAGGAAGCGGGGGGGGTAGCTGGCGGAAGATTGGGGGGGGTTTACATACTTTTATAGGGAACGGAGGGTAGATCAGAAAACGGCAACTTGGGGGAATCAGGCAAAATTCATCGTGACAAAACCAAAATCCTGCGGGTCCCCTCCCCCCTTCCGCACGGGAGTCCGAAGGGGGAAGGGGACCCAACAACATCCGTGTAACAACATCTGTAAAACATCTATGTAAAACTGCTCGTTCTCTGCGATTCAGTTTATGATGGAGAAACCAAAAAACGAGTATGTTAATTTTTCAAGTCTTTCATCTTTCGTTGAATATATTTGGTAGGAAATGTTATTTCGTTTTGTCACCTGAAACTGGTGTCATTGCGACATTGAGACTTAAGACGTAAAATCGTATGAAAGTAGACAAGTTATGAGGTCTGTGACAGTCGACAACAACAAAATTTGATAAATAACTATTTAAAAAATATGTTAAATATACTTTGAAGCACATGGTATTTACTAAAGTCTGTTGGTCTCTACTTACCCTGCATAAATATTCCTGCCAACTTAAATACCGACGCGGAAGAATTTCTTCATCAAGGAATGTTTTTAACGGGGTTACAGCAAGATCTAGACAAAATAAGTGCTTGAAATTCTCGTATCATGCAATGGGATTCGGAAGCTTTTAGTTGGTTATAATTACCATTTATAATACCTGGCTTCTGGCTTCACTGGTCTCAATTTTCTCGACGGTCAGTGACGGAGAGTTCGAACGGCTAGTATCTCAAACGTTAAAAATTTTATTCCTCTCAGAAACGATTTTCTTCCCGTCGATCCTAAGATCGCGAGTTTAAATAGAGATATTTCATAAAAGCTATCATCACTGTTTGGAAATTTTGCCAAAAATTAAAGTTTTAACATAAAACAGAATTTATCAAATTTTCAAATTTGTAAACACGCACGGTTGGATGGATTGAATAGGAACTCAGAAGAAGGAATTGTGTCTCTTGGGAGCGATCCTTAATTCTGGAAATTGCTGAAAATCCCTCAGTGTAAATATTCATGGTTACTGTTAGAGTCGTGAAAAAAATTCCTAATCGAAAGTGCGAAAAAAACTCCTAGTTAGCAATCAGTAATAATTAAAAAGAAAAATAACAAAAATGTTAAATGTCTTAAGTTAGATAAGCAAGGATACTTACCTTTTTGAAAAGTATTCTACATTTCGAATTCAGTTCAACAAAAAATTTCGAAGCTTAAGAGCCGTTTCCCTGTTGTCGTCTATGTGAATAAATATTTCTTTTAATGGATTACGTCATGGTCTTGGCAGCTTTTCAATAAGCTGGTAAAAAATAGTTCTGGCCTTTCAGTGTCAAATAAACAATCAAAATTGTTTCCAACCAAAAAAATAAAAGAAGATGCGATTTTTTAAAAATTTTCCTCAACATAAACTCTCTATAGTCGCAAGGGCCTCTGTACCCAAACATTTCTTTGTCACGATCACTGAGTTATACGTCGGAATAAGGAGGAAAGTGAGTCGTGGGTGAATTTATTCTCTTGTCATTTGAACCTCAGGCAAAAGGTTGTTTTAGTGTAATTAGGAATTGAAAAATTTTCCTTGGTGCTAACAAGCAGAAAAATTTGTTAATAAGCATGGGAAACTTAAACATGGTCTTAAGACTATCTCTTAAGCAAAACTTTTAAAATTTACGGAATGAGTTTTAGAATGCATTTGAGATAAACTGATTCTGGTTTTGAATCTGAAACAGTTTGAATTGCGATACAGTGTGGCTAGTATCAGAAATATTTCAAAGAAATGAATAGAAATGTTACGAATCAGATTGATTACAGGTTAGTGTAAATATAAAGTAATGCAAGACTTTGCTCATCTTAAGAAAACCGAGTCAGCGCCATACAGTTTGAACAGAACTAAAAATAAAAACATGAAATACAAACTCCGACATCATGAAAAAAAAAAATAATTGTTCTTTGACTGGACTTATATAATTTCTTCTCCAGCGTTCACAAGTATTCATTCTTTTGGATGAATCAAGCTTAAATTAAAACATTCTTTAAAATGTTTCATTTAAAAATTTGTAAAGAAACAATATACGATGAAATTAAGCGAATGTTACGTGTGTTGATTATTTTTTTCCGTCATGGCGATCAGAATATGATGCTGTTGATGTTTACTGAAAAAAGAAAAACTCAGAATCGAAGGAATCAAAATCAACCGCTGGAATGCTTATTACATAAAAAAACTGCAAATGATAATTCAAACAATTTCAACAACAAAGTCATTGCCTCTTGGTCCATTTACATTATGGTTTAAAAAGAATTCAATACCAAAATTCAAGATAACCAAACAAAGAAAAATAATCTACATTTTGTATGAGGGGGAGAACCATGTCGTAAGTTTAAGAAGTAAATTGTAATACAAAGGATTGTTTACGTAACCTAGATGTCCGTGTGATAAATTATACAAAGAAAATTTTAGAGAAAAATGAAAAAAATTGAACTTTTCCTGGATATTTGTTGCCTACCTGATTTTATCTGAGAAGTGCGCTGGGATGGAAATCAAAACCTTCGTGTAAGATTTACATGAAACTCGGCTTCAACGAAAACTGATATTTTCGATTGAAGTCAGCCATAGATTATATTATCTTTCAATTTGAAAATCGTGAAGACTTCAATCCAGAAACGGAAAAACATTAGTCAGTATCTATCCAATGCAGAGGCTCTTAATATGACGTTTCTCTTTAATCTACCTTATCTCGATTTGATTGTGTTTCTGTCTGATTTAAACCGATGTTAATTCATGTCAATCTCTCAGGCCTTTGTATCCTTAAAAGTTTGTCTTGAGTCCCTGATTAAAATTGAAGGTCCAAAATAAGGTTTTAACAAAGAAAGTGGTTTAATATTTAAGGTAAATTGGCATCCTATCGATATATTACAGGTAAGTTTTTCAAATTTCCACAATCCACAATTTCAATACACAACTCTCGTTCAAAATCTTACCTATCGAAAGAAAGCTTACTTGAGATAATAGTGCATTGATCTTACGCCAATGTTGCCAAATTCAAATAGAAACTAGTAAACGTGGATATTTTTATGTCAAGGTTGATAATTGAAATAGACATCTTTATTCTAGCAACATAATTTGTTTTTTTTTAAATATTTGAATTACAAATTTACTCCTTATCTCATAACGGTAGCTGCTATATGGACTAAATAGCGGTTTCAAAGGATTTTTTTTCCCTAGAAACATATGAGCTGTGCTTTCTTCGAAGAATCTCGGGCATTACGGCAAATTATGCTTTCATGCTGCGTGCTGTGTTATACAGAAAGTTTTCATTAATATTTAACACAAACAGAAGATTTCTTGAAGCAAACTGTGTGGAGTCGAATCAACAGAAATATTACAGATATCCCTGAACGTCAAGCTACTTAAAAATTTGCTTAGCTGGTCTTCCCTTGTTCAGAGTTGCAGCTTGAACCATCCTTGTTGATAAGCGAAAACGTGCACGAGAAAACATTAATGTAAAAAATTTTTGTTTTAAGCAGAGCCTTTTAGAAATTTCTAAATGTACCCAACAAAAGCATTCTCAAACAATTACTTACCTTTTCAATAAGAATTAAATTGAACCGAGCAACCCTTAAGTTCACGTCAGTATATAAAAGTAACATGAAATCATTTTAACTTCAACGAATCTTGTACCACGGCAAATCTGATTAAGCAATTCCATATTTAAAATCGACCAATAGGACATTCCCAACCTCCGATGAAAAGCATAATTAATCGTTTAATCTTTCAGACCATCTTAGTATTCAGATTTTCTCAAGATTAAGCTATAACTCTTAAACCGCATACAATTGGTCTAATTCTTCGTCAGAAATTTGCATATTTCATCTCTTTGATCCTGGTAATTTCAAATCTTTTTCCGTTTTATATTATAAATGGGCATTAAATGGTTATTGCAGTATGGTATTTTATTCAATCGAAAATATTACTGTAGAATTGCACGAAAATTTCTCTCAAATTAGCCCGGCTTGTATTCGAAAATCGTTTTTAGTTGTTTTGGTGATGATGAAGCAGATGAGACAACTGAAGGCGCACGAAATGCTAATATTTTTTGTTCTAAAAAGTTGAGATTCAGAAAAGTTACCCTCTCACAAATTGTAATACTAAAACGTGATTTATTCACGAAGTACCATTTCTATCCAAGATGGAACTTCACATTGCTTGCAGCAGAGCTACACTTCCAAAAAATATCAAAAATAAATTAAAGTAGTTCCTCTGTGTATGTGTCAGTGGGTGCCCATCATTAGTGTCTGCCCCTAATTTGATGTGTTTTTATCTTTATTAAGAATGCTCTATTTTTCTGCCCCCTATTGTTATTTTGGACAGCTCGTACTCCTCTTTGAAATCCTAGCCGGTTAAATAATTTCTTCAGAGGAAATTTTTTTGTCTCGTATTTAATCTAATTTACTTATCTTAGGAGAAGAGGCGTTTGTGTTGGCTGGAAATTCATGAGATTCTTGGATATAGCGGTGGAAATAATCTCCATTAAAGAAGGAAAACACAACAACTTGATTTTTTGTAACGGACGAACGAATTCAAACAATTATTTACATTCTTCTTGTTTTCAGGTTAAAAGTTACCAATTCATATTTCCGAGAATTGACTACCCCTAATTACCTCAGTATTCCCCGGACAGTGGTTTCATGGCAACCCGCCATGACGTCACGAGGCTGCGAAATACACTCGAGATGACTACCCTCACTGCCTCAGAATTCCTTGGCTTTTGGTTCCATAACAACTCGCCATGACGTCAGGAGATTTTCAAAATACAAGCGTTTTTTATTTGCCGGATTTGATCAATTATGAATTGTGCATTTGAACTAGTTTTGTTTCATTGAAAATAAAATACACTTTCAGTGATTATTATATTGTGCCCGTAAACGTTTCGTCAATGTGCCAACAATCTTTTTTTTTGTCTCGTTACTTTAACTTTGCAGAGAACGTCTTATAAAAGGCTGATACGTGAACAGCTTGCCCCCTGAGGGACCTGGTGCTGGCTTAGCTAATCCCAGTCAAGGTAGTTGAAAATTGGCCATTGTTTGGGTGTTTCTCGAACCGATTGAGGTTCGTAAATTTATACACACACAAAAACGAAAAAAAAAAAAAAACAAGACCATTACTTTTTGTCTTTGTTGTTGCTTTTGCAATGCAAGGTATCGGATCTCTTGTTGTGATAATTATATTTAACTTGAATCAGTGTGATAAATAACGAAAAAGATAAATGCTTTAGAATTGTGCAAAGATTATAAAGGCGTGTAGTCATTGAAGAGTTTTGTTTGAGGAATTTTTCACGGTAACAGGTATAAAAATTTAACCCGATGGCAAATTATTATCAATTGCATAATTCGTTAAGAAGGTATTGAGTTGCCGATATGCAAAAAGTTATGAATAAGTAAAAAGGTAAATAACATTACCAAACCACCATTGCTATAAATAATAGATTTGTGTGAAAAAAAACCTGTTAATGGATAGAGATATCGGCAACAAAAGGCAGAATGTTAGACAAAACATGTATAATTTCATTACAGGAAGATAAAAATAAATAGCTTTTAGAGCAAAATTGCTCGAAAACCAAGACGGCATCTTTTGATATTTGTAATATAATGTCAACTCGACGGTTCAAAGACATTTTGAAGACTGTATGGAGAGTGTTATCATTTTCCGTTTTTTCCATCTAATTTCCATAAGACCTTGTGGTAATGGATTAGTTGTTTCGAGAAATTGGTCGGGGGATTTTCACTTTAAATGCAAAGTGTCTTGTTTCTGGTAAAACACATGAAGCTGTAATACTTGTTTGTGATCTTGTTATGATTCATCATTTTTCTTCAGGATTTACCGCGTATATTCTTTCTTGCATAAGTCATAGAACGTCATGTCTGATTGGGTTTTCATACACTTCATGGTCGTGTGGCTGTGCAAGTTTGTTTATTTCGGGGGAAATTTATTTAATGAGGACACGTTGTGATGCATAAATGAGTGTCATTAACGGTCAAACCTGAACATATCTCTTCATCTTGGTCAATGACGTCACGAAAGCCTACTCAGACGCTGATTGGTTGATGCAGATTGAGGCTCTTTTTCACCAGATCACATGTATTAGTATTTTGGTGGCAACAACTTAATGGAAAATAAGTTCAGCGTAATCTGAGAATGAAGGAAATTGGAGAAGAAATGACAGTTATTCGAGAACAGCGCGTCAGGATTGACAGAAGCGAAGTTGAAGGTGAAGGGTCAGTATAGGAAAAAAGCGTTCAGTTTGCTCTGAGCTATTTATTCATTTATGTTTATTTCTGCAAAGAAGAAGATGCAGTGTTTTACTTGGGTACTTAGCTCTTTGTCCTTGAAGTATTCGACTTACATTCCTATTCAGTGGTGATATAAACCGAAGATAGTCGGTTCGAAGATGACAGAGAAGTTATTTTGCATTGGCATTTAGTTTCATGTTTTGTGATTTCCATAATCTAATATTGATAAATGCAACCAAAAATTTCCCCCAAAATGTGTTTTTGTGGGTGGTGTGATAATACGACACCAACCTCAGGCATACATTAAGCTAACTCAGAAGCCCTTAAGCGCTAACTTCAAAGCCAAACTCGTAAACTGGATATTATCTAGATTATGTGACGACTTGGTAATGAGAACTGACAAATATGGAGAAATAGCGTATGTTTGGTTTCCTAAATAGAGTACTCTAGGCCCTTAATCGACGTTTTAGTGATTGAACATTGTCAAAACTAACGTGTAAAAGTCCCTCGCCATGACGACCCTTACCTTTGCCAAGGGACCGGTCTTAATCACCCAAGGAAAGGTGTGGGGGAAAATTGGCGGATTTTGGTTGAGTCACGATGAAATTTACCCGATCCCCCTTCCTTCCTCCCCCCCCCCAATCAGACTATATGATAGTCCTATAATCTTCCCTCATTAGCGGTTAATTGGCAATTTTCTATAGTTCCCTTCCCCTCTATACTCTGTTAGCGAATGATTCCCCCTCTGTTTCCCTGAAAACTATATGATTTCCCCCCTGAATCCGAATCGAATGTGTACAGTCTTAAAAATTTTGAAGGCGAGGTTTAAATGTTGTGTTATTGTAACTTCAGCGTTTTCCCAAACCCAAGCGCACCACCTGCCAGCTGCCCAGATATAGCATTACCTGACAGCCAAGATAATCTCGAGGTAACATCTGAAGTATCACAAGGCTGTGTGGACATTTGTTGTGGGTGCGACAGTCGGTATAAGTGGTACGATGAAGAAGGAAAAGGTATTTAGTCTCGACGTGGACCATGTTGCAAATAGATAAATAAATGAATAAGAAAATCCAGTTAATGATGATGATAATGATGATTATAAGACCGTGTGGAGTCCAACTCAGTCTGAAATCATACGAGTGATCAACCAAATCGAATAAACCTGAATTTGGAGGCCGATTTGTTAATTACGAGCATGATTACTGGCCAATTGGACGACACGAAGTCATTTTACTAATTGATAACAACTATTACAATTTCCAAAATATATATATTCATTTATAGAAGGGCGTGTAATTCCAATCTTCAAACATTTAATTATAACAGTCATTGAGCAAAACACTCTGAAAAAACTCGAGAAAACAGCTTTCTATATTGTGATATCCCTGGCCTAGCTTGGGATGGTGGGCCATAGCTATAGCTACTGTGATCAGTTCTTTGATTGGTGAATTTATTTAAGTATACTCAATGTGATTGGCTGACATAACTGTCCCATTAAAGGTTTCCGATCACATCTAACTGTCCGATGACACTGTTCGATTACAACTCTACAGAATTACTAGTGAAAAATAAGTCAGTTCATCCACCAATCATATTCAAGAAAACTGTAATGCATGGTCATAATAACCTTGAGATTATACTGTTGCAACTGGATCGTAAGTTTAAAAATTCCTTTTTTTCAGGTTTGTGCTGCCTTTTCCTGTTCTATTTTCCCTTTTTGATGATATTCTTGTCCATACTTGCTGCAATCACGTATTTTCTGTATTGGTATATCATCGATTGATATACCAGTAGCAGCTGTTGTGTACTACGAACACTGACTGGTGTCAGTGACTCTGATGCAACCCCCGAATCATTCCCAAAGCATGAATTTTATGATCTTTTCAGTCAGCTGTATTATTCAATCAATCCCCCATCTTCCAGAAAACAGGCTAACAGCTATAATGCCAAAATGACAACTCCAAAAATCACATAACCCACCAGAAGCAACATGACAAAGCAGGTACCTGAAAAACGATGAAACTAATCACATATAGAGACTTTTTAACTGATCAACTGATTATGTTTACGATTCAGCTTGAAACCCTTAAAAATAGATCCTACCTGCCAACCTAACAGGAATTGTTGGAAGTATCGGCCACAATCTTTAATTGCAGGGGAAATCCAAATACTTGAAGTTCTTTTTTTTCTTCCAGTGTTACTTAGCAAAGGCAAGGTGGGTTCAGAGTAGCTAGTTCCATTTTGGGTAAATGCGGCTTGCCGAACGTAAAATCGTATCTGTTCGATTTTCTTACAACAATAGGACGTGTAACACAAACCAACGACAACAGGAATCTTTTCTTGTTGACTGCTTTTTATCAGGAAAAACTAAGAGAAACGCTTTTTTATTGGGACTTTGCCGCGTTTAACTCGATGTGCACAGACCTCTCTTCCCAAATTTCACCTCCTAGGTTTAATTTTTTTTTCTTATCCGTAAATCAGCTGTTCAGATCGAAGATCTTCAGGGCGCCGATTCAATACCGTTCGACAGCCAAGATAAGTAATCAAACAAATGAATAAATAAAGAAATACGATGGGGGATTGATAAGTACATAAATAAATAACTTCAATTTGACCAAGGAATGATTTGACCAGACAATTCCGATTGCTTGATTGTAAGCTAAAGTGAGCCCTGAAAGTGAGCCCTGACAAGTGAGGCTCTGAAAGCATCTGAATGCCTAGCTTTCCTCCGTAAGTCGTACCAGCTGTACCTGGTTTCATGCTTGAAACAAAAGTCAGCGCAGCTGTCATTTGATGGTGGTCGAGAATCTACTACAACCACCCCTGGAGGAGATAGTAGGGGAGATGTCCTGGCCAAAATAGAAAAATGTTTTTCTTTTCCGCACAAAATATCGAAGTATCAGGAAAAAAGTACTGAGATATTTTTGCTGAATCATTACAGTGTAAAGACCAACATAATTGATGTGAATAAAGCAAAGTTTCTTCTACAAGAAGAAATAAGTATAACACTCATTCCAGTTTTATGAAAATTTTTTCTCACGTAATGATATAATACAGGCAAGGAGAAAGAGAAGTGGAAGAGGGGGTGAACTTTCGGTTATAAGCAAGCTTACCAAGAGGTCGAGAGCAGAAATCATCGAAATGAGTCAGAACTCAGAATTATTTCCTGGTTATGAAGTCATCTACACTGACTCCCAATGAACCATTGAATTCGCTTACAGACTTAAACAACTCTCCTTTCATTTACATAGGTTGAACAGTAGATTAGATCTCATCCCCGTAAACAGATCTACAGTTTTACCTGCGCTGGAAAACTCATGAGAGTAAAGCTTTGGAAAAATTTTCAGTATGATAAGTTTAACAAATCTTTGCTCTGTATCAACAACTTCTGTCTTGTTTTCCAATGGAACTTCATCGATAATGACATGCTGTACCTTAGTTTTGCCACTACGGCCTGCAGGTTGCTGTTCATTTCCAAGTCGAATCGTTAAGGTGTGACTACACTCCACTGACAAACAACTTGAACTTTGTGTATTTCGGGGAAAAAGGACCTTGGTTGGTTCCAGCCAATCAGTAACGACGATGGGGGCATCACTATGACGTCATGAAGTGAGCGTAATTTTACTTTAAGCAACTTTATTCAAGTAATTCTTCAAGCTTACCGGAAAACATTCTCTCATATACTAAACTATGTAATAGCATTGCTGTTCTAACAACCATGTATATTGCTGTACGAGTTAAGTTCATTTCTTAGCTTTGTACTGAATATGAAAACAGCTTTGTTGGAGGTTGAGTAAGAAACTGAGGTAATTTTTTGATGAAGCATGGAACCGTTTAGCACTTGATCACCACCTTGATCTGACTGACCCGAAGTAAATCTGTTCAAGAGTGCCAAATTCGAAGAAATGAAAACCCAAACTATTTAAGTTATTTTTTAAAACATTTAGTGAAAACGCTATAGATAATTAAATATTGATTCAATTTAAATTCATCTCCGTAGATAAACCAATAATGTAATCCATTTCTCAGTTATCTCTAGCTGAGCAGATGCACTCGCAAAGACAATACAGCGATAAACATGCCAAAGCGATAACGCCAAAGATCAAATAACCCACAAGCAGCAACAGGACAATGAAGACACCTGAAAAATGATGAAGCAAATTAGAGTTTTGAAACCTTATCAATTAAAAATATTTTCTAAGCCTAAAATTCGTGTCCCCAACGTACGGCTTCGTAGCTCAGTCGGTAGAAGCGCCCAGCTGGTATCTGAGAGGCCTGGGTTCGAATCCCGTTGATGCCTGAATTTTTTCAGGCTCTCTTCGGCAAGTGCTAACGTTGCAGATGGTTTAAGATCCTCTCTTAGGATTAAGATTGCTAAAAGAGGGAAAAGGAATTGCCTCGATTCTTAATGAAGAACTACTTCCCCAAGGGGAGGTAGTGCGGAAGATGTTCTGAAAAAGGCCAAAACAAAATATCATGCATCAAAATGGATGTGGCATGAACTCTTGTCAAACTCCTCGTGACACTTTGCAGATCCTCTCTTCTGCCCAAACTCTAGTCATATGTCGTATACAACCCCGCTTAAAATTCTTCCAAAATGCCATGTAACTATAATGAAGCAGAATTTTACCTGGCCAGAACATATTTACAAGGTGTGTATCATAATTATATTCCTTTGACAATGCAATACTTAATTGGTTTTTAAAATAGTCATCTAGTTATTTTTGTACGTCAAGAGCGATAAATAAAAAATAAATGTTTCGAAATCATTGGGAAAGCATGTTTTTAATGTCTGTAATACTTGTTATTATTCCTTATATTATCATTACCATTATTAATCAATGATTATTGTTATCAACCGAGATCGCATCGCGTCCTGTCTTAATTGCTAAAGTTCTCCATTTACAATCTGTTTTGATGTTCTTCATTTTCCACTCTTGCTGTTTGTTGAAGGATTTTGTCTTAGTCTCCTTGAAGCTTAACGTGACATCAGGGGCTCAATTTTCAATGAGAAAATTCTCTTATGTTGAAGGTTAATATTTACTGTAGACTTTTACCTTCGGGGCAAATTGACTTCACTTGCCTCTATCACTTCCCTGGCCAAGATGCTGAAAGAAATTTAAGTGTTAGCAAAATGAAAGTAATGTCTAAAGTAAAGAAGTCTTCACCTGCACATTTTAGATAAAGTGAATCTAAGAGAGAGACGAAACATAGTTGCAATAGGACAGATATCATTGGTCATCGTACGAAACCCCTACCAAGTCTACCGAGGAAACTCAGGAGTTCCAAGAATGTTCCAGCAAGGGCTTGATTTCTTATTTACGTTTTATCTTTCTACCTTGGAACCAAATCGGAATGTATAGCGGCGAATTCTCGAGAATCCCCACAAAGTACTGAAACAGAGGGGAAAAAATTTTTCGTCCCTAGTAAAAGCTTTCTAAAAGGTGAAAGTGATGTTTTTCTACGATTACAATAAACAGTTGTTAAAGGCGAGCTATAGATGTTCAGATGGCTTGCAGATCAATCGCTCCGACGAAGGGCTAACGTTCGAAACGTCAGCTTAGAAACTCTTTACGGTGGACCATCTACATTATCAACTCATAAAACCAAATTATCTGGTTGTGCTTAGGATAGTTTTAACAGCAAAATATCAAAGCTTCACAAACAAGGTCGCAATGTTTGGCTAAATCATCGGCGCATAAACATGAAAACGAAAAATTTAAGAAAGCAAAGTAATATGTAAAACACTCGCTTTGTACAAACGAATTCTACTAACTTAAAGACATTTAAGCAGACTTTCATAACAGGTAGAAAGGATTTGGTGAATTCTCGGCTACAGTTGAAGTAAGCTTACTAAGAGGTTGAATGAACAACAAGTGAAATTAGTCAGAACTCAGCATTACTTCCGCCTTGGTCATCCGCTGATGGAGTCAATTGAATGGCTCATATCAAACCACTCATTCAATTAAAGGTAAAAACCTACGGTAGAATCATCGTTTTAAAGGCTAACAAAATCTATTTTACAGGCGTTGAACAGGAACTAGATCTCATCGCCGTAAACTGATCCATCTTCTTAACCAAACTCGTTAAATAAAACCTTTGAGAACATTTTCAGTGTTATCAGCACAAACTAACCCTTGTTCTGTTGCAACAACTGCTGTCGTCTTTTTCAATCGAACTCCATCGATAATGACGTGCTCTTCCTTAACAGCCACTACGGCCTGCGGGTTGTTATCCATTTCCAAGTCGAATCGTTAAGGTGTGACTACACTCCACTGATAAACAACTTAAACTTCCCTTCTGGGAAAGAAGAACCCTGTTTAGTTCTAACCAATCAGTGGCGACAACGGTGGCGTCACTGTGGCGTCACAAGCTTTAAATCTACGGTCTTGAGCTCAAAATTGTCATTTCTGAGAAATGACATGTCGGTGATGACTGACATTAGAGCAACTAGTGTAAATGATTCTCTTAATTGCTTAAAGTTAGACTTGCAACCTCACAGTCACACACCGATTAATTTGTCCAAAGTTGTTTATTTTAGACACATTTTCTGTCAATTTTACAAGTGCGGATGGTATGTCGCGACCTGAAAAATTTTGGCCAAAGCGGACAAATCTTCAAACGCAATGACGACGAAATTTTTCCCGGGTTAAAATTTGGAAAAGTCGACAAAGGGCCTGTTTACATGGAGGTGGGTGAGGTAACCCGCCTAACCGTGGTCGCAAAATAAAACGCGTTTACATACAATCTTACAAACCTGGGGTGCTGGGTTGAGGTTTCTTGAGGTTGTTGTTGCGCTTGCCCCAAGCTCACGTCTCGAGAAAGACGAAAGCTTAATTCTCGGAAACGTATTTATTTATTTATGAAAGCGTCACGCGTTGTGTTACGCGGTGTTAGGTTACGCGAGGAACCGTTGACGTGATATGTTATGAGGAATAGTTTGAAATATGGTCAATTTACTGCATTAAATATTCCGAAATGTGAACATTTTACACACCTTGTGTGTCCTTTGCAGTTTCTGGTGATTTCTGCTATAAGACGGCTGGGAAATGTACAAAGTTTTAAAACATATGTGTTTCGCTTTTGAGCTTTTTGCTATGAAAGCGACCCCGGCTAGGCGGGTTACCCCACCTTGGGACATTTAAATTTTTGTCGTATAAGCTACGACAAGCGTGAAATTGAACTGAAATCAGTTTACCAGAGAGGCAAAAATGATCTTTTTTGCAACTCGGGGATTCTAAAATTTTAAAAAGGCTTAGGATAATCCTGAAAATTGCAGGTGGAACCCTTTGGAAACTATGCTGGACGGTCTTATGAACAGATCAGGCGCTGACGGATTTTGGCGGCTTTGAAATTTTTGTGCGGATGCAACAGACGAAACGAAAATTCTTCATGACGAAATTTGTTCTTTGATTTGGTCAGGACAATTTTTAGTCTCGTTCGCTAGTGCGGAAAGGGCCTTAGTGGTCATATGACAATAAACTTATTAACTGAATTCCAAGGTTTAGTTGAAGGAGAAAGAGAAGAGCAAGAGATGGTGAACTCTCGGTTTTGAGCAAGCTTACCAAGAGGTCGAGAGCAGAAATCATTGAAATGAGTCAGAACTCAGAATCATTTCCGCTTAATTATGATCTGGTTATGAAGTCAACTCCCACTGAACCACTGAATTTACTTACAGACTAAAACTACTCTCCTTTAATTTACAAAGGTTGAACAGTAGATTAGATTTCATCCTCGTAAACAGATCTACATTTGTACCTGCGCTGGAAAACTCATTGGAGTAAAGCTATGGAAAAATTTTCAATATTATAAGTTTAACTAACCCAGGGATTGAACAAGAAACCGGATCTCATTGCCGTAAACTGATCCATCTGCATGACTGAACTCGTTAAATCAAAGCTTTGAGAATATTTTTTGGGTTATCAGCTGAACGAAGACTTGCTCTGTAGCAACAACTTCTGTATGTTTTCCAATGGAACTTCATAGATGAGCTCTACCTCAATAGCCTCTACGGCTTGCAGGTTGCTGTTCATTTCCAAGGCGAATCGTTAAGGTGTGACTACACTCCACTGACCAACAACTTGGAGTTTTCGTATTTCGGTGAAAGGAGGACCCTGGTTGGTTGCAGCCAATCAGTAACGGCGATGGGGGCGTCAATGCGTCAATATGACGTCATAAATTAATGCGTAATTTTATTTTGAGAAACTTTATTCAAATAATTCTTAAAGCTTGCTGGAAACACTCTCTTATATACTAAACTATGTCAGCTTGCTGTTCTAACAACCATGTATAGTGCTGTACTAGTTAAGTTCATTTGTTAGCTTTGTACTGAATATGAAAACAGCTTTGTTGGAAGCTGAGTAAGAAACTGAGGTAATTTTTTGATGATGCATGGAACAGTTTAGCACTTGATCGCCTGTAATAGGAAAGTTTGCATCAATTAGATAACAAAAAATTGGACAAAAAATTGTCCAAAGCGACCGGTCATAATTAATCGCCTGGGGACGGTAGGGAGGGGGTTTTGGAGGATTTCGAGAGGATTACCTGATTTGCAGCGGAATGTAGGGATATAGGCAGTCGATAATAGAGTATAAAGTGTGGACCATGGAAAATGGATTGATAATGGAGGGGGGGGGGGGGGCCTTAAGAATAAGAAGAGCCTTAGGGGGAATCAGGTATAGAGCTTGTGAACGCTAAGTTGATCTGACTGACCCGAAGTAAATCTGCTCAAGAGTGCCAAATTCGAAGAGATGAAAACCCATATTATTTAAGTACAAAACATTTAGTGAAAACACTATAGATAATGGAATATTGATTTAATATAAATTCATCTCCGTAGATAAACCATTGATGTGATCCATTTCTCAGTCATCTCTATCTGACTCGAGGCAACCGCAAAGACAATACAGCAAGAAACAGGCCAAAGCGATAGTTCCAAAGATCAAGTAACCCACAAGCAGCAACAGGACAATAAAGAGACCTGAAAAATGATGAAGTAAATTAGAGTTTTGAAACCTAATCAATTGAAAATTTTTTTCTAAGCCTAAAAACTCGTCTCCCCCAACGTGCGGCTTGGTAGCTCAGTTGGTAGAGCGCTCAGCTAGTATCTGAGAGGCCTGGGTTCGAGTCCCGTTGATGCCTGAATTCTTTTCAGGCTCTCTTTGGCAAGTGCTAACGTTCAACGGTATGAGGCGTTTCGGCAGTAACAAACGAGAACAATAACATTTTTTAAATAATAGTTTTAATGACAAAAAACTCAACATATTAATTTTCGGATGTAGCTATCCTATACGGACCTTACTCTATAAATATCTTATAACTAAATTATTAAATTTATTTTTCTTATCCGTAAATTAGCTGTTCAAGAACGCTGAATCAATGCAATTCAGCTCTGAGAGTAAATAACTAAGGACATGAATGATTTAATGAATGAAAAAAATGCATAAATGAATTTGAAAATGTATAAATAAATGCGTTGGCGGATTGATAAGTATAAGTAAATGAATACTGTCGATTTTGATCAAGGAATGATTTGACCAGACCGTTCTGAATGCCTAATAGGTTTTGCTTGCCTCTTCCTTCTTATAAAAAGCACCACATCTATAAGCTACAATAAGCTCTGGCAAATGAGGCTCTGAAAGTATTTGAGTATCTACCTTTCCCTTGCAAGTCGTACCAGCTGTAGCCGCTTTCACACTTGAAACAAAAGTCTACACAGCTGTCTTTTGATGGTGGTGGAGAATTTACTACAACCGCCACTGGGGGAGGTAGTGGGGGAGGTGTCCTGGAAGAGGCCAAAATAAACAAAATGTTTTTCTTTTTAAATCTTCCATTAGTATAGATGTCATTTAAACTCCTGTCAGACTCATTGTGACACAGGATTGGTTAGTTAAAGATCCTCTCTTGGGGATTAAGATTGTTAAAAAAGGGGAAAGAACTGTCTCGGTTCTGAACGAAGAACTACTTCCCCAACGGGAAGTGGGGGAGATGTTCTGTAAATGGCCAAAATAAAATATCATGGATCAAAATAGATGTAGCATGAACTCTTTTCAAACTCCACGGGACACTTTGCAGATCCTCTCTTCTGCCCAGACTCTAATCTTATGTCATATATAACCCCGCTTAAAATTCTTCCCAAATGCCATGTAACTATAATGAAGCAGAATTTACCTGGCCTGAACAACGGGAGGAGCTCTGAAAAAGAAAAAAACACCAGTAATTCATAAAATTTTAAAGAAACACAAATGAAATGCTCCGGCAACTTTGATATTTACAAGGTGTGTATTGCATTACTTTGACAATGCAATACTTTATTGATTTATGAAAGTAGTCATCTAGTTATTTTTTTACATCAAGAGAGATAAATAGAAAAAAATGTTTCGAGATCATTAGAAAAGCATGTTTTTAAAATAGGTTTTCACTCATTTTCATTTTTTCGATTCATATCATTTTTGTAATAATTGTTATTATTCTTAATATTATTATTATTATTATTCAATGATTACTGTCATCAACCGAGGCCTGTGTTAATTGCTTAAGTTCTCCATTTACAATCTGTTTTGATATTCTTCATTTTCCACTCTTGTAGTTTGTTGAAGGATTATGTCGAAGTCTCCTCGAAGCTTAACGTGACGACTAAAGACTAACTTTTACTGAAGACTTTTACCTTCGGGGCAAATTGACTTCACTTGCCTCTATCACTTCCCTGGCCAAGATGCTGAAAGAAATTTAGGAGTAAGAAAAATGAAACTAACATCTAGAGTAAAGAACACTTAAACTGCACATTTTAGATGAAGTGAACCTAAGAGAGAGACGAAACATGGTTGCAATAGGACAGATATCATTGGTCATCGTACAAAAGCCATGAGTCTACCAAGGAAACTCAGAAGTTCCAAGACTGATCCAGTAAGGGCTTGATTTCTTATTTACGTTTTATCTTTCTACCTTGGAACCAAATTGGAATGTATAGTGGCGAATTCACGGGAATTCCCATTAAGTACTGGAACAGAGAGGAAAAAAATGTTTCGTCCCTGACAAAAGTTTTCAAAAAGGTGAAAGTGATATTTATCTATAGTTTCATGAAACAGTTATTGAAGGTGAGCAACAAGTATTCAAATTTGGCTTGCTAAATTATTTCATTAAAGCAAAGATTTAAGATCTGTTTAAATAGATCATTTGCTCTGACGAGGGGCTAAAGCTCGAAACGTCTTTGTGAACAATGTGCATTAACAACTGTTGAGCTTAGGATCGTTTGAATAGCAAAATATCAATGCTTCACAAACAAGGTCACAATGTTTGGCCTAACCATTGGAGTGTAAAGATCAAAACAAAAAATTTAAACAAAGAAAAGTTATCAAAGTTTTACATATTTCTTCCAGAAGAAATATGTAAAATAATCGCTTCAATTTCACAAACGAATTCTACCAACTTAAAGAAATTTAAGCAGATTCTAATGACAGGCTCAATTGATTAGGTGAATTCTCGGCCACAATATGAGTAAGCTTACTAACAGGTTGAATAAAAAAGACAAGTGAAATTAGTCAGTATTCAGCATTACTTCCGCCTAATTGGTCATCCGCTTATGGAGTCAATTGAATTTGCGCACATCAAACCACTGAATTCAATTAAGGGCAAAAACTAACGGAAGAATCATCGTTTTCAAGAGTAAACAAAGTCTACTTCACAGGGATTGAACGGGAAACCAGATTTTATCGCCGTTAATTGATCCATCTTCACAACCGAACTCGTTACATCAAAGCTAAGGGAACATTTTCAGTGTCATCAAACTAACCCTTGTTCTGTAGCAACAACTGCTATCGTCTTTTTCAATCGAACCCCATCGATAATGACGTGCTCTTCCTTAACAGCCACTACGGCCTGCGGGTTGTTACTCATTTCCACGTCGAGTCGTCAAGGTGTAACTTCACTCCACTGATAAACAACTTAAACTTTGCGTATTCAGTCTAGGAAAGAAGGAGCTTGTTTAGTTCTAACCAATTAGTAACAACAATGGTGACGTCACTGGGACGTAATGAGCTTTAAATCCACGGTCTTGAGCTCAAAGTAGTCATTTCTGAGTAATGACATGGTAGTGATCATTGACACATCGATTAATATTGTATTAAATACAGATTGATTATTTGAGAGACTTAAAGGTCGAAACTCAGTAGCTGACCCATGCACGCCCTTCTTTTGTGTGCAATTACGTCCTAGTCAGTTTGAAACAAAATTGTCGAAATTTTCATAACTTAGGGCCTTTTCCGCACTAACGACTGAGTTGTTTATTTCAGACACATTTTCTGTTCTCACCAACATTTTACAAGTGCAGATGGTTTGTGGTGACTTGAAAAAATTTTGGCCAAAGCGGACAAATTTTCAAACGCACCGTCGACAAAATTTTTCCCGGGTAAAAAATTTGGCAAATTCGACTAAATATACAAAACTGTGATAAACTTGTTAATCATTTGTCGTAAAGGCTACAACAAGCGTGTAATTGAACTGAGATCAGTTTACTAGAAAGGTAAAAATTGTCTTTTGCTGCAAAACTCGGGGATTCTAGAATTTTAAAACGACTTAGGATAAATTTTACTTTGAGAAACTTTATTCGAATAATTCTTAAAGCTTACTGGATGACACTCTCTCATGTGCTAAACTTTGTAACAGGTTTGCTGTTATAACAACCACGTATGGTGCTGTACGAGTTAAGTTCATTTCTTAGCCTTGTACTGAATATGTTAACAGCTTTGTTGGAAGCTGAGTAGGAAACTGAGGTAACGTTTTGATGAAGCACGGAACAGTTTAGCACTCGATCGCCAATACCAGAGAAAGAACTGGTTTCCAGTAAAACAGTTTGCATCAATAAGACAATACCGTCAAATCATTTGTCCAAAGCGACCCGTCGTAATTTTTATCGCCTGGGTAGGGGGGTGGGTTTTGAAGGATTTTGAGAGGATCAGATGGTTTTCAAGAGGGGGAATGTAGGGGATATAAGTAGTCGATAACAGAGTATAGAGGGCGGACCATGGAAAATTGATTGATAATGGGGGGAGAGGGGTGGGGCGGGTCATTAGAATAACAAGAGCCTTAGGGGAAATCAGGTAGGAAGCTTGTGAACGCTACCTTGATCTGACTGACCCGAAGTAAATTTGCTCAGGAGTGCCAGATTCGAAGAAATAAAAACCCCATATTTTTTAAGTACAAAACATTTAGTGAAAAGGCTGTAGATAATGGAATATTGATTCAATTTAAATTCATCTCCGTAGATAAACCACTGATGTGATCCATTTCTCAGTCATCTCCATCTGAGAGGTTGAGGCAAGTGCAAAGACAATACAGCACTAAATAGGCCAAACCGATAATTCCAAAGATCAAGTAACCCACAAGCAACAACAGGACAATGCAGACACCTGAAAAATGATGAAGCAAATTAGAGTTTTGAAACCTAATCAATTAAAAATCTTTTCTAAGCTTAAAATTCGTCTCCCCCAACGTGCGGCTTCGTAGCTCAGTTGGTAGAAGCACCCAGCTAGTATCTGAGAGGCCTGGGTTCGAATTCCGTTGATGCCTGAATTTTTCCAGTTACTCTTTGGCAAGTGCTTATATAACACCTCACCAAAGAGGATCATCTCTTCTTTTGAATCTTGACTTCGCTGCAGAAATCCAAACACTAGATGTTCTACATTTTTCGAATGTGGGTTTGCAAAGGTGAGGTGAGTTAAGAGTTGCTAATTTCAGTAACATCTTGAATGCCAAACACGATAACGGATCTTTCTATTTTTCGTTCAACGGTATGAGACGTTTCGGCAGTAACAAACGAGAACAATAACATTTTCTAAATAATAGTTTTAATGAGAAATAACTCAACATATTCATATTTGGATGTTGCTATCCTATATAGACCTTGCTCTATAAAATATGATGACTTAATTTTTAAATTTCTTTTTCTTATCCGTAAATAAGCTGTCAAATCGAAGAACGTCAGGACGCTGATTCAATGCATTTTAGTTCCGAGAGTAGATAATTACGGACATGAACGAATGATTTAATGAATGAATATATATATGTGTGAATTTGAAAATGTATAAATCGATAGATAAATACTTTGGCAGATTGATAAGTATAAGTAAATGAATAATGTCGATTTTGATCAAGGAATGATTAGACCAGACCGTTCTGAATGGCTGATAGGTTATGCTTGCCTCTTCTTTCTTGAAAGTTCCACATTTATAGGCTACAAAGGGCCCTGGCAAGTGAGGCTCTGAAAGCATTTGAGTATATACTTTTCCCTTGCAAGTCGTACCAGCTGTAGCCGCTTTCACACTTGAAACAAAAGTCACAACAGCCGTCATTTGATGGTGGTGGAGAATCTATCACAACAACCTGTGGGGCAGGTAGTGGGGGAAGTGTCCTAGAAGAAGCCAAAATAGAGAACGTTTTTCCTTTAAATTACTTCTAATAGTATAGATGTCATTTAAACTCCTGTCAAACTCCCTGTGACACAGGATTGGTTGGTTTAAGATCCTCTCTTAGGATTAAGATTGCTAAAAGAGGGAAAAGGAATTGCCTCGATTCTTAATGAAGAGCTACCTCCCCAAGGGAAAGTAGTGCGGGAGATGTTATGAAAAAGGCCAAAACAAAATGTCATGCATCAAAATGGATGTGGCATGAACTCTTGTCAAACTCCTCGTGACACTTTGCAGATCCTCTCTTCTGCCCAGACTCTAATCATATGTCGTATATAACCCTGCTTAAAATTCTTCCAAAATGCCATGTAACTATAATGAAGCAGAATTTCACCTGGCCAGAACATATTTACAAGGTGTGTATCATAATTACATTCCTTTGACAATGCAATACTTAATTGGTTTTTAAAATAGTCATCTAGTTATTTTTGTACGTTAAGAGCGATAAATAAAAAATAAATGTTTCGAAATGTTTCGGAAAGCATGTTTTTATGTCTGTAATACTTATTATTATTCCTTATATTATCATTGCCATTATTAATCAATGATTATTGTTATCAACCGAGATCGCATCGCGTCCTGTGTTAATTGCTAAAGTTCTCCATTTACAATCTGTTTTGATATTCTTCATTTTCCACTCTTGCTGTTTGTTGAAGGATTTTGTCGTAGTCTCCTTGAAGCTTTACGTGACATCAGGGGCTCAATTTTCAATGAGAAAATTCTCTTATGTTGAAGGCTAATATTTACTGTAGACTTTTACCTTCCGGGCAAATTGACTTCACTTGCCTCTATCACTTCCCCGGCCGTGTTAGCAAAATGAAAGTAATATCTTAAGTGAAGAAGTCTTCACCTGCACCAAACTCGTTAAATAAAACCTTTGAGAACATTTTCAATGCGACCTGAAAAATTTTGGCTAAAGCGGACAAATCTTCAAACACACTGCTGACGAAATTTGTCCCGGGTTAAAATTTAGCAAAGTCGACCAAAGGGCCTGTTTACATGGAGGTAGGTGAGGTAACCCGCCTAACCATGGTCGCAAAATAAAACGCGTTTACATACAATCTTACAAACCTGGGGTGCTGGGTTGAGGTTTCTTGAGGTTGTTGTTGCGCTTGCCCCTAGCTCACGTCTCGAGAAAGACGAAAGCTTAATTCTCGGAAACGTATGTATTTATTTATGAAAGCGTCACGCGTTGTGTTACGCGGTGTTAGGTTAGGAACCATTGACGTGATATGTTATGAGGAATAGTTTGAAATATGGTCAATTTACTGCGTTAAATATTCCGAAATGCGAACATTTTACACACCTTGTGTGTCCGTTGCGGTTTCTGGTGATTTCTGCCATAAGACGGCTGGGAAATGTACAAAGTTTTAAAACATATGTGTTTCGCTTTTGAGCTTTTTGCTACCCACCTTGGGACATTTAAATATTTGTCGTATAAGCTACGACAAGCGTGTAATTGAACTGAAATCAGTTTACTAGAGAGGCAAAAATTATCTTTGTTGCAACTTGGGGATTCTAAAATTTTAAAAAGGCTCAGGATAATCCTGAAAATTGCAGGTGGAACCCTTTGGAAACTGTGCTGGCCGGACTTATGAACAGATCAGGCGCTGACGGATTTTGGCGGCTTTGAAATTTTTGTGCGGATGCAACAGACGAAACGAAAATTCTTCATGACGAAATTTGTTCTTTGATTTGGTCGGGACAATTTTGGTCTTGTTCGCTAGTGCGGAAAGGGCCTTAGTGGTCATATGACAATAAACTTATTAACTGAATTCCAAGGTTTAGTTGAAGGAGAAAGAGAAGAGCAAGAGATGGTGAACTCTCGGTTATGAGCAAGCTTACCAAGAGGTCGAGAGCAGAAATCATTGAAATGAGTCAGAACTCAGAGTCATTTCCGCTTAATTATGATCTGGTTATGAAGTCAACTCCCACTGAACCACTGAATTTACTTACAGACTTAAACGACTCTCCTTTAATTTACAAAGGTTGAACAGTAGATTAGATCTCATCCCCGTAAACAGATCTACATTTGTACCTGCGCTGGAAAACTCATTGGAGTAAAGCTATGGAAAAATTTTCAGTATTATAAGTTTAACTAACCCAGGGATTGAACAAGAAACCGGATCTCATCGCCGTAAACTGATCCATCTGCATGACTGAACTCGTTAAATCAAAGCTTTGAGAACCTTTTTTTGTGTTATCGGCTGAACTAAGACTTGCTCTGTAGCAACGACTTGTGTCTTGTTTTCCAATGGAACTTCATCGATGAGCTCTTTCTTAATAGCCTCTTCGGCCTGCAGGTTGCTGTTCATTTCCAAGTCGAATCGTTAAGGTGTGACTACACTCTACTGACCAACAACTTTGAGTTTTTGTATTTCAGGAAAAGGAGGACCCTGGTTGGTTGCAGCCAATCAGTAACGACGATGGGGGCTTAATGCGTCAGTATGTCGTCATAAATCAATGCGTAATTTTATTTTGAGAAACTTTATTCAAATAATTCTTAAAGCTTGCTGGAAATACTCTCTTATATACTAAACTATGTAATAGCATTGCTGTTCTAACAACCTAGTATAATGCTGTACGAGTTAAGTTCATTTGTTAGCTTTGTACTGAATATGAAAACAGCTTTGTTAGAAGCTGAGTAAGAAACTGAGGTAATTTTTTTGATGATGCATGGAACAGCTTAGCACTTGATCGCCTGTAACAGGACAGTTTGCATCGATAAGACAACAAAAAACTGGACAAAAAAATTGTCCTAACCGACAGGTCATAATTAATCGCCTGAGGAGGGTAGGGAGGGGTTTTTTAGAGGATTTCGAGAGGATCACGTGGTTTACAGCGGAATGTAGCGGATATAGGTAGTCGATAATAGAGTATAGAGTGCGGATCATAGAAAATTGATTGATAATGGAGGGGGGGGGGCGGGTCTTTAGAATAACAAGAGCCCTGGGGGGAATTAGGTAGGAAGCTTGTGAACGCTACCTTGATCTAACTGACCCGAAGTAAATTTGCTCAGTAGTGCCAAATTCGAAGAAATGAAAACCCAAATTATTTAAGCACAAAACTTTTAGTGAAAACGCAATAGATAATGGAATATTGATTTGATTTAAATTAATCAAGGAATGATTTGATCAGACCGTTCTGAATGCCTAATAGGTCTTGCTCGCCTTTTCTCCTTTTATAAGCTACAAAAAGCCGTGGCAAGTGAGGCTCTGAAAGAAATGCTGAAAGAAATTTAAGTGTTAGCAAAATGAAACTAACATCTTGAGTAAAGAACACTTTGACTGCACATATTAGATTGGGTGAATCTAAGAAAGAGACGAAACATAGTCGCAATAGGACAGATATCATTGGTCATCGTACAAAAGCCTTGGAGTCTACCGAGGAAACTCAGAAGTTCTAAGACTGTTCCAGTGAGGGCTTGATTTCTTATTTACGTTTTATCTCTCTACCAAGGAACCAAATCGGTATGTATAGTGGCGAATTCACGGGAATTCCCATAGAGTTTCGTCCCTAACAAAAGCTTTCTAAAAGGAGAAATTGATATTTTTATCTACAATTACATGAAACAGGTATTCAAATTTGGCTTGCTAAATTATTTAATTAGAGCAAAGATTTAAGATCTGTTTAAACAGATCATTCGCTCTGACGAAGGGCTAACGCTCGAAACGTCTTTGTGGGCAATGTACATCAACAACCAAATTGTCTTGTTGTGCTTAGGATAGTTTTAATGGGAAAATATCTATGCTTTAGAGACAAGGTCGCACTGTGTGGCTAAATCATTGGAGAGTAAAGACTAAACAAAAAATTGAAACAAAGAAAAGTTATCAAAGTTTTACATATTTCTTCTCGAAGAAATATGTAAAACACTCGCTTCAATTTTACAAACGAATTCTACCAACTTAAAGAACTTTAAGCAGATTTTAATGACAGGCACAGAGGACTAGTTGAATTCTCGGCTACAGTATCAGTAAGCTTACTAAGAGGTTGGATGAAAAGATGAAAAGAAAAGAAATTAGTTAGAACTCAGTATTACTTCCGCCTAATTAGTCATCCGTTAATGGAGTCAATTAAATTTGCGCACATCAAACCACTAGATCCAATTAAGGGTAAAACATAGGGAAGAATCATCGTTTTAAAGAGTAAACAAAGTCTACTTTCGAATAAAGGGGGTAAGCAACTACTTTCGGGATTGAACAGGAATTCAGATATCATCGCCGTGAACTGATCCGTCTGCATAACCGAACTCGTTAAATCAAAGCTTTTAGAACATTTTCAGTGTTATCAGCACAAACTAACCCTTGTTCTGTTGCAACGACTTCCATCTTCTTTTTCAATCGAACTCCATCGATAATGACGTGCTCTTCCTTAACAGCCACTACGGCCTGCGGGTTGTTACTCATTTCCAAGTCGAATCGTTAAGGTGTGACTACACTCCACTGATAAACAACTTGAACTTTGCGTATTTCTGGGAAAGAAGGAGCCTGTTTAGTTGTAACCAATCAGTAGCGACAATGGTGGCGTCACTGTGACGTCACGAGCTTTAAATCCACGGTCTAAAAATAATAGTTTCTGAGTATTAACATATTGGTGATCATTGATATTAGAGCAACAAGTGTAAATAATTTTCTTGATTTCTTAGTGTTAGACTTGCAGCCTCACAGTCATATCGATTAATTTTGTATTAAATACAGATTGATTATTTGAGAGACTTGTCAATCATTTATCGTAAAAGCTACGTCAAGCGTGTAATTGAACTGAAATCAGTTTGCTAGAAAGACAAAATGATTTTTGGTGCAAAACTCTGGATTCTAGAATTTTAAAGCGACTCAGGATAAATTTTACTTTGAGAAACTTTATTCGAATAATTCTTAAAGCTTACTGGGTAACGTTCTCTTATATGCTAAACTAGGTAAAAGCATTGCTGTTATAACAACCATGTATAGTGCAGTACGAGTTAAGTTCGTGTAATTGAACTGAGATCAGTTTACTAGAAAGGCAAAAATTATCTTTTGGTGCAAAATACGGGGATTCTAAAATTTTTAAAACGACTTGGGATAAATCTTGGAAATTGAAGGAGGAATCCCGAAAAGGGCCTTTGGCAACTATGCTGGCCGGTCTTATGAACTGATCAGGCGCTTACGGATTTTGGCGGGTTTGAAATTTTTAATGTAGCTGCAACATACGAAACAAAAATTTTTCATGGCATAATTTGTCCTTTAATTTTTGTAGGGACAATTCTAGTCTTGTACATTAGTGCAGAAAGGGCCTTAGTGGTCCTATGATAATAAACTTATTGACTGAATTCCAAGTTCCAGTTCCAACCAGTCAGTAACGACAATGGTCGTGTCACTATGAAGTCATGCGGTTTAGATAAACAGCCTTGAACTTGAGGTTGCACATGATTTACTTGGGTGACGTTTTCTGGAAAGATGCGCTGCATGCAATTTGTTCTATGACCTGCGCATCTGCTGACCAAATCGTCACCTTGGAACAAATTGGCGTCGTCGGTGACAACATCTTCCGAATATTTTCTCAGTAGTTTTACAATCGCTCCACTAAATTCACTTTTCTTTAGCCAAGAGGTAAAGCTTACCTGTTTAAAAAAACACTATAACTTACAACTGATGAAAACGTGAAGCATATCGTTTTGTAACTGATCGGGAGTATTCGTTTGTTTTCCCTCCGGCAAAGATTCTATGCAATTTTCTTCTGAATTTATCTCGCTTCTGATTGGCCAATTGGCCTTGAAGTTGTCAAGGTGATATCAATATGATAGGCTCTGTTCAACTGACTCATGTAGAAGGACTAATTTTGCATGTAGAAGTGCTTATTTATCGCAGAACTGGGATAAGGTCGGACGAGCATGAAGTTTGTAAGGATAGATTACTTGGATATTTACGAAGAGTAACGAACTTGGATACTGGGGAGTATTGCAACGGATTAACCACTCGTATGTACTCTTCCATAGGCCTGTGCGGTTTGAAAGAAGGGAAACAGGGAAGAAGGAGACTTGTTGGCGTGGAAGATAGCAATACCTGCAACGAGGATAAGGTAAGTCTGTAATTCCCTACACAACTTTTTCAAATCCAAAATAACTTAAGATGTGAACTAGCGCTTGAATCTTGCGTTGAGTAAATGAAGAGCTCTTTATGGGTCTTCTGTTCTGCAGCTGAAAACGAATTTAGATTTTCAACCAAACATTTCATGTTGCTAAGCAACAGCTGTTCAGATCTAGAGTTAGTTTTGCTCAGTGACTGACTTCCGAAAAGAAACGCGGAGGTGTGTTGTTAGCGTAGTTGATTCATCTGCGCTGTAGGGTTTTCCCTATAGTAAACAAGAGTTTCTACCGCTTTGTCTTTGACGCACTATTACCGGCAAATTAGGTGTTTAATATAAGGGTTATATTCAATAAATCATAGACTCGAATAGGTTGTTTTTTTTCCATAATGAAGTTATGTTAGGAGGCATGAACACACGCCATGCTTGTCCTTTGTAGAGGCGCCTCATGACTGAAGCAAATCGATGAAGGATCTGGGGTAACCCTGGGTTCTCAATCACTTTGAATGCAATCAATCATTCGCTCGGATAAAGCAACGTCTCAGTTTTAGCAAATAAAGAAAATTAAAGCCTTTTGCTAACGTATTTTTAGTGTAAGGGCAGGTTTTCCTGAGAGTTACCGTATTTTCGTCATGCCTTCATACTGTGTGTAACAAAAGTTCCTCATCTTAAATTTACCACTGAACACTGGTGGAAATCGCTTTTGTTGAAATACATTTTGAAATTCAGATGTATGTATTATTTCAGTTTTTTTAATGGAGGCTATATCTATCTGACTTTAGTTAAGTGTGGAGTATCTTCAACCAAGTACGGTACCTTGGATCAGGCACTTGCGGGAAAATGCCTCCATGGCCCACGGGAAAAAAAAAAAAAACAACATAAAACAGTTGTAACAGAAAGCTTTTCAATATTTTTGTTGTTAGCTAAAAGAAAGCTAACAAATCCAACGTTTCTTAATCCAGGGGAATGATTGATTGTACTGGAAGTGAATGGAAACTCAAGGTTAATGTCAGTCATCCATGCATAGAGAGGGTATGATGCGTGCACGAGCAAATGTCAATATACGCATCGATTATTAGACAACAAAAGAGGTTTTGACAACTTTTTTGAAGCACTTCAAACTTAAAAGAAAGCGACAAAACTTTTAAGTCTGTAATACTGTTCTAGCCTCTTTATCTCTCTTATCAACTCAAGATAAAAGAGGCTATTCATATTCATAAAGAACAACCATCCTTGAGTCAATAATTACACCATGAAGATCTAAAACTATCCTTATCCTCCTTAGATTGGAGGATTTTGTTTATGTCACTATAAAAAAATCCACCGGATCTCCACTTGAGGCTCTGTAATATTCTTATGATTCCCTTCCTTTATCAGTTAATAGATAGTCACTTTTCTGTAGTCCCCCCAATTTACACTCCTCTGCGCCCTAAAACCCATGTGTTCCCCCTCCCCACACAAAAAATCTCCACACACCCTTCCCCCCCGGCGATAAATAATGAGTAGCCCCTTAACGTTTTATTCAGAAGTGATACCGTAAGGAGAAGATAGAGGATGATCGTTATTAAAAGATTAAAGGATTTGAGAGAAAGAGTTAATAAAACTATGTTTCATAGAGAAATTACTGAGGATAAACCATGCACTGAAAGACCAAATATCACTGGCTAATTTTAAAGCTAAAAAGTTTGTCAAACTCTTTTGTGATCATTTATTCATTATAATGAAAGGCATTTGACAAAAATTGACTTGACAAGTTATTTATAAGTTGACCCGATAAGCACTGTGCTAAAATAATTATTTCAATGTCTCAATCACAGAAATGATTACTGACAGATTCATTTCGTTAGCAAGGCTTGGCACATTTTTTGCTGTAATAACCAGTAAGAAATACTGTCACCAATTTCGCAAAAACTGAGTCAGGATATTAATACCAACTGTACGTAGATACAGATACAGTTCAGATGAAAATAAAAGCTGGAAACTGGCCTTTTGTTACCGCGGTGCTATTGCCAGTATCTGTTGGATCACTGAAAGTAAATTGCACTCCTTCTGCTTCGATAGACATATGTCCATCTTTTCCGTACCATGACTTAGGACCCTTGATAAGTGACTCTAACATATACTGCTTATTTGCGTCCAAGGAAACCAGATTACCAAACGAAACAAAAAAGCTATAATAATTATTGTTCGCATCCTTTTCCGAAGTGAACGTTCCTGATTGTTCAACAACAGCAAAATTAGTGGCTATATTTTTGACCCTAGTGGAGACTGTGTGCTCGCCACCATCAGAACCAAAATGCTGAATTCCAAGCAACATAATAGGCTTGTTTACGGAGAAGTGAACAATGTCAGGGAGGCCCTTATCGTAATTCCAAGCTGTAGCTGGCTTACAGTAACCATTAAATCTGTTGACTCGAAATCCAAGAAGCTTCCTCCTTGCTCCCTGCAAAAATGGTAAAGGGATTTTCATGACATTGCCGTAAAATTTAATCATGTCACCTGTCTCCTTCTTAGATAAAATAGCAGTGTCGTAGACTACTGTGGCAAACTCCGTCAATGTCATCAACGGAAAGCGAATTCCTTTCACGATTTCCTCTCCAAGAAGTCGTCTCTTCGTCTCTCCATCAAGTGTAAGCCCCTGCCGTTCTCCTTCTTCTGTGGCCCAGCGATCAACAGCTTTGAACAGTTCCACTTCCGTCACGCTCAACACGTCTCTCTTCACAAGAGATTCAACAACAGATCGCTCAGCTGTGACGAAGTTGTCTGACTTCACAGCTTCCTCTGTGAAAATCTCGATAACTCTCCAGCATCGTTCTTCCAAATTCTTGTCCTGAAATTTCTGGGCGCATGACAGAATGCTAAACACCTTTGTTACTGTCAAATTGTTGCGAAGATATTCCGTGCATTTCTCAACGAGTGAAGGCACCATGTACTTGTTCGCCAAGTAAATCACTTGCATCACATTACTGCCGCTTAAAGTCACTTCGTCGCAGTAGAGGAAGCGGAACAACTCCAACAGAATGTCGTAGTCACAGTCAGGTAGTTCGATAGAGTCTTTAGTCTCCGCCATTTGACCATAGAACATGGCAAAGAACACAGGACTACTGATTGCTAGCACAAACTTATGAGCTGGGATCACTTTCGTACTTTCGCTTTCTCCACTCGACACAGGAACCACAAATTTCACGTCGCTTAGCATCTCGTTATTGAAAATAAACGCGGTTCTCTCGACGATAGTTTGGAGTTTTGTCTGCCAGTTGTCTTCAGCAGTCATTGCTATGTTCCAGCTTCTTTGCTCATATAGTGAGAAACAACTTTTAACACGTAGCGATAGCAGTAGTTTTCCTCTTTAGGATAACACCGCTGAACTCATTGCAGGCTCCTCCCGTCACGAAATGACGGGAATGGTGCGCTACGTAATCTACTCCAGGCTGATATGTTTTTTGTCAAAACTATGACATACGTTAATATTTGGAAACAGTAACATGCATTTATGACGGGCATTTCTGTCAAATTACCGAGCAACGCCTCAGTTGTTGACATGAAACAAGAGATCTACTGGAAATTGTTTACCGTAATAATTAGATTTAGCTCCCTCCATATAATAAGCTCCCTCTCTAATTAGAGACCCCCAAAAATTTGTTTTTGTTGGTTAGCGCCTCTATTCTAATAAGCGTCTGTATTGATTTAGCACTGCCATTACAACTAGCGCCCCTTTTTCCAATTAACGCACTTATTCTGTTTCAGTAATAGCACTATTGGAGTACGTGTACATGTACATTTCATGGTTGCTATCAAGTAAATTTTGCCGGACTTTGAGTTCGTCTCAAGATAGAACAACGCAAATACACAAGGAAATTTTTATAGTAACTTTATATCCATCCTTTGGTCTTTTAAAAGTTTGAAGCTCAGTAGATTGTGTCATATTGGTCATTGTTAAAACTGTCTTTGTTTTGATGCTACTTTTCGACATAAGAAAAGTATGTCGGAAAAAAATGTTCACCAAAAAAGGAATATTTCCTTGGCAGCTTCAATAACGACAGGAGATTAAATTTAGATGATAAAACAAAGGATTATGTTCACAGAAATACCGTAGGTCTGGTACATTTGATACATGAGGTCACACAACTCGGGTAATATTCACGGTGAAAATTTGCATATTTGAGCGGTCGAACGAAAAAAATTATTTCTCGAAAACTAAAATATATTTTTAGAAAAAAACTACACCACAATTATTAGAACATAATGGGCTACAAATTATAAAAGTAGGAGGGAAAACAAATTTGAGTGACTTGCCGCTGTTTGTTTGATGCATGCTGATATTAGCTCTTAAGACTGACTGAGCAGCTTTAATCAAACTGCTAGCCACAAGTGCTACTCCATCAGATCATTTAATGAAAGTATATTTAAAAAATAAGCGAGAGGAGTAATCTGCGAAGGGGATTGGAGGATCTTGGTTGTGTCACAATAAAAATCCAGCTGATCTCCCCGTGAGGTTCTGTAATATTCTCATGATTCCCTTCCATTATCAGTTAACTGGTAGTCACTTTTCTGTAGTCCTCCCTTTTACATTCCTCTGTGCCCCCTAAAACCCACGTGATCCCCCCTACACAAAAAGTCTCCACACACCCTTCCCCTCCCCCGGCGAGTAGCCCCTTAACGTTGTACTCAGCAGTGATACCGTAAGGAGAAGATAGAGGATGATCGTCATTAAAAGATTAAAGGATTTGAGAGAGAAGGTTGATAAAGCTGTGTTTCATAGAGAAATTATCGGTGGTAAACCTTGCACTGAAAGACCAAATATCATAGGCAAATTTCAAAACTAAGAAGATTGTCAAACTCTTTTGTGATCATTTTTATTCATTATAATGAAAAAGTATTTGACAAAGATTGACTAATAAGCTATTTGTAATTTGACCTGATAAGTACTGGGTAAAATATCTGGGTCTCGGTGATACTATTTCAATGTCTTAAGGCTATCACAGAAATGATTAATTACCAATTCATTTCGTTTGCAAAGCTTGGTACAATTTGGCTGTTATAACCAGTAAGAAATACTGTGACCAATTTCGCAAAAACTAACTAAGTCAGGATATTGATATCAACTGTACGTAGATACAGATACAGTTCAGATGAAAATAAAAGCTGGAAACTGGCCATGTACTACCATGGTGCCATTGCCAGTATCTTTTGGATCACTGAAAGTAAATTGCACTCCTTCTGCTTCAACGGACGTTCGTCCATCTTTTCCGTACCATGATTCAGGACCGTTGATAAGTGACTCTAGCGTATACTGCTTATTTGCCTCCAAGCAAACCAGATTACCAAAAGAAACAAAAAAGCCATAATAATTATTGTTCACGTCCTCTTCTGAAGTGAATGTTCCTGATCGTTCGACAACAGTTAAGTTAGTGGCTGTATCTTTGACCTTAGTGGAGACTGTGTGCTCACCATCCTCAGAACCAAAATGCTGAATTCCAAGCAACTTAATAGGCTTGTTCACGGAGAAATGAATTCTATCAGGGACGCCCCTAATGTAATTCCAAGATCCAGTTGGCCAACAATTATCGTTAAATCTGTTGACTCGAAATCCAAGAAGCTCCTTCCTTGCTCCCTGCAAAAATGGTAAAGGAGTTTTCAAGACATCACTGTAGTATTTAATCATGTCGCCTGTCTCCTTCCGAGATAAAATATCAGTGTCGTAGACTACCGTGGCAAACTCCGCTGATGACATTAACGGAAAGCGTATTCCTTTCACGATTTCCTCTCCAAGAAGTCGTCTCTTCGTCTCTCCATCAAGTGTAAGTCCCTGCCGTTTTCCTTCTTCTGTGGCCCAGCGATCAACAGCTTTGAACAGTTCCACTTCCGTCACGCACAACACTTCTCTCTTCACAAGAGACTCAACAACAGATCGCTCAGCTGTCACAAAGTCGTTTGACGTCACAGCTTCCTCTGTGACAATCTCGATAACTTTCCAGCATCGTTCTTCCAAATTCTTGTCCTGAAATTTCTGGGCGTATGGCAGAATGCTAAACACGTTTGCTGCTGTCAAATTGTTGCAGAGATGTTCTGTGCACTTCTCAGCGAGTGAAGGCACCATGTACTTGTTCGCCAAGTAAATCACTTGCATTACATTACTTTCGCTTAAAGTCACTTCGTCGCAGTAGAGGAAGCGAAACAACTCCAACAGACTGTCGTAATCACAGTCAGGTATTTCAATAGAGTCTTTTGTCTCCGCCATTTGACCATAGAACATAGCAAAGAACACAGGACTACTGATTGCTAGCACAAACTTGTGAGCTGGGATCACTTTCATACTTTCGCTTTCTCCACTCGACACAGGAACCACAAATTTCACGTCGCTTAGCATCTCGTTATTGAAAATAAACGCGGTTCTCTCGACGATAGTTTGGAGTTTTGTCTGCCAGTTGTCTTCAGCAGCCATTGCTATGTTCCAGCTTCGGTATTCTCGGCAGATTCTTTCCTCATATAGTGAGAAACAACTTATAACACTCAAACGATAGCAGCAGTTTGCCTATTTAGTATAGCACCGCTGAACTCTTTGCAGGCTCCTCCTGTCATGCAATGACGAGTACGTAATCTACTCCAGGCTGCTATGTTATTTTGCAAAACCATGACCTTAGTTATTATTTGGAAACAGTAACATACATTTATGACGGGCATTTCTGTCAAATTACCGTGCAACGCCTCAGTTGTTGACATGAAACAAGAGATCTAATTGAAATTGTTTACCTTAATAATTTTGATTTATCGCCCTCCATATAATAAGTGCTCCCTCTCTGATAAGCGACCCCCCCCCCTTCAAATTTGTTTTTGTCGGTAAGTGCCTTTATTCTAATAAACGTCTCTATTGATCAAGCACCGCCATCACAACTAGCGCCCCCTTTTCCACTTAACGCACCTATTCTGTTTCAGTAACCAAAACTGTAAATTAAGAACCGTAAATCAAGTTCACTTACACTTACACTAATGATATCTTTGTTACAGCCTCAAGTGGAAGCTCTCCAAACTGGTGGCTCTTAAATTCGAAACAAAGTTTAATAGAGCCTAATGTAGTTAAATGAAGAGATGGAAATATTTCAAGA